TTTGGCTCAAACTGCTACTGGCAGGCACTACTGCAGCCCTGTGCATAGATTTGGGTACAAGAATGCATTTTTCAGAGTGCGCGCTGCTATCGAGATCCATTTACGATAGCAAAACTGGCCAAATCGGGCATTTCGACCACTACTGCACTGCTACTGCTTCAGTAACAAGCCAGTAGTGACATTTTAGACGAGATTTCATTTTCACGTCCAGGTACAAGCCAGTAGTACGATCTTGGTGAATTTGGTTCAATTCCAATTCGACGCCTAGTAGCAAGGCAGTAGTATGATCTTGGTGAATTTGGTTCAATTCCAATTCGACGCCTAGTAGCAAGGCAGTAGTATGATCTTGGTGAATTTGGTTCAATTCCAATTCGACGCCTAGTAGCAAGCCAGTAATACGATCTTGGTGAATTCCAAACCAATTCATAGCTAACGTCCGGGTACAAGCCAGTAATACGATCTTGGTGAATTCCAAACCAATTCATAGCTAACGTCCGGGTACAAGCCAGTAATACGATCTTGGTGAATTCCAAACCAATTCATAGCTAACGTCCGGGTACAAGTCAGTAATACGATCTTGGTGAATTCCAAACCAATTCCCGCGGTCGCCGCCCGGTAGCAAGGCAGTAGGCAAAATTTTCACCAAACATTGATTTTTGGAGAAAAATTATTCCAAACCGAGCCGCGCCCAGTAGCAAGGCAGTAGTGCAAATGGGCCTGCGGGAGCGTAATAAAACAAAAAGTTTTATTCGGCGCCACGATCCAAGGCCAAACATTAAACTTTAAAAAAAAAAATCAAAATTCTCGTCGTTTTCCAGTAGCAAGCCAGTAGAGGATGCACGCAAAACGGGCTCATTTCCGCGTTTTCGCTTATCAATTCGCCGATTGACCCAATAAGTTTTTTGACGCTTTGAGTCGTTACTAGGCACCTATAGGCACCATCTAGGACCAGTGACAAAAAAATAAAAGTCAAAACCAGAAATTATGGCCCTAAACAAGTTCTGGCTGTAGTGGGCCCAAATTCCGACTGCTGGCGTATTTCGCCGATGACGCCAATAGTTTTTTCGGCACTTGGAGTCGTTAGTAGCGACCACTAGCTACCAACTAGAATGCCTGCAGGCATCAGCAGAGCCAAAACCTGAAATTATTGCTCTACCCCAGTTTTGGCCCCACTGCAGGATCTATGGACTCGCCGTGTATTTCACCAGCATCTCTGATGAATGCCTGGGCACTTGGAGTCGTTAGTAGGGACTACTACCTACCAACTAGAATGCCTGCAGGCATCAGCAGAGCCAAAACCTGAAATTATTGCTCTACCCCAGTTTTGGCCCCACTGCAGGATCTATGGACTCCGCCGTGTATTTCACCAGCATCTCTGATGAATGCCTGGGCACTTGGAGTCGTTAGTAGGGACTACTACCTACCAACTAGAATGCCTGCAGGCATCAGCAGAGCCAAAACCTGAAATTATTGCTCTACTCCAATTTTGGCCCTACTGCAGGCATGGACTCGCCCTGTATTTCACCAAGAGCTCTGATAGATGTCCCGACACTTGGAGTCGCTAGTAGGGACTACTACCTACCAACTAGAATGCCTGCAGGCATCAGCAGAGCCAAAACCTGAAATTATTGCTCTACTCCAATTTTGGCCCTACTGCAGACCCTACTGCTAAGTACTTGCAGAGAATCCTGGTACCCACCCTGATGCTTTCATCAGCACGACTACACTTGTTGAAATACAACAAGTAGTAGTAGCACTGATGAAAGCTCCTTGGTCCGTGTATAGAGTCGCCTGGCCAAGTATTGAACACTTGGCCGATTTGAGCTTGTACTATGACGACTTAGGCTACCTTGCGAGAAACCAATGACTTGTCGAAACTCTTACGTGACCTAGACGCCTTGCGCACCTTTATAGCAAAGCCGCCTAGCATTGTTAATACAATGCTTGATGGGCTAGATTGCTTTGTTTGATTGTTGATGGGGGGAGAATGTTCATTGCTGAACAAATCGTAAAACACAAGCTAAATCTCAGCAGATCGTAGTGCAAGACTACTCTCATGCTACACAACTGGTTTTGTATT